TGGCCTGCAAGTGGGCACAGCCTTAACCAGTGCTTCCCATAGTAGGTGATATTAGAGTTGTGCACTAAATTTGTTTCTCCCATTTAATTCATTTCTTTCATTACTTCCCTTTTTTCAGAAGCATGAAACAGTAAAGCCCCTCCCACTAGAGAAACCAGCTTGACATGAAAGCAAGCAAGAGTGGGTCCCAGCTCCTGGTCTGCTTTTTGGCATCACAGAGTAAGAGCTGCAGGCCCTGGCAGGCATGGATGCTCCTGCACACCACACATGCAGTGTCTTTGAAAAGAGTGTGTGTGGCTTGCAGGAGTGTCTGCCAAAGCCAGCAGCTGAGCATGGAGTCCAGATTAGACTCCATACTTGGCTGCAGGCCCTTGAAAAGAGTGTGTGTGTGTGGTGCACAAGCCTGCCCACGCCTGCCAGGGCCTGCAGCTGAATGCGGAGTCCAGATTAGAAACAACAGGTAAGAAGCCTCTTCAAAGCATGCATCAGGAAGGGGAGCCTGAGTGGGAAGTTGTCCTGCCAACCCACCCATAATGGGCTGATAGTTTTCGCACCAGAGATGTTTTTACACCGGAGAGTGAAAACAGATATCTGCCCTCTCGATTTTGGGAGGCTCCCATAAAATGGATCAGGCCCCCCACCAAAGCCGGAATATGAAACAGGTCAGGGTTTACCCCATAATTTAACTAATTTACGAGGCCATAAAAAAGACTACAGCAAAAGCATGCAGGGAATGCGGAAGTACTTCATCAGTGTCGCAGATGGACGATGAAAGCGACAGCTCCCCTGGCGGCCAGAAAAGTTAAATAGCCTCTGACTGTCTGTCTATATCTGTTGTGTGTCTTTGGCATTGAATGTTTGCCATATATGTGTACATTGTAATCCGCCCTGAGTCCCCTGCGGGGTGAGAAGGGCAGAATATAAATACTGTAAATAAATAAATAAATCTGTGTGATATTGCCCCCTGGAGGAGCATTGGAATAATCTAGGGGAGAACTAGTAACCTGTGCTGAATTGGGGGGGCGGGGCGGGTAAAGGTAAAGGGGAGAGGAAAATATTAAGAAAGAATAAAATAAAATTTGGAAAAAATGTTTCATCTATCATGTAAAATAGACTTAAAGACATAGTGATTACTTTCTTTTTCAAATGATCATAGAATCATAGAGTTGGAAGAGACTACATGGGCCATCCAGTTTAATCCCCTGCCTTGCAAAATGCAGAAAATGCAAGTTATTATAACCAATCAGTGGTCACGTCTACCAAAAAATCTTAACAAGCAACTGTTGGCAAGTGAGCTTATCATGCATTGTCGGAAATTCCAGCATGCATCAACAGGGATATGAGCATGTAATGACTAATTTTACAATACAATACTATAAAGAAATGACATGTATGAAATCTAATTTATTTGTGAGACAAGCCACTAACAATTGTGTAAATGCAATACTTTTTTAAAAAATTATTCATGATGCTGACAAAAATAGAGCTGAACATTAATCAATTGGTAGCAGTACACCAACTTCATCTTTCTCATTTAGGGTCATTGTAATGTTGTTTGTAATTTTTATTTTAATATTATCCTCTGTTATTTTAATTTTGTGGGTGTAATGAAAATGTTGCCATGGTTGATTTTAATAAATAACATAATTTCAAGCATCAAGGGGTCTTATTTACAACTTTATCATGTTGTAGGATCTAGGTAAAAACATAAATACATAAAAGGATGTGAATTTGTCACTATATGTTTCTCCTTGTTCACTTACAGAAAGTAGATTTCCATGGAGGCACTGAGTAATTTTGTTTTCCTGAAAAGGGAGTAGTTGGCCAAACAAGTTTTGGAATCTCTGATCTAAATGCCATCCTAGCTAGCTGTTCTCTTCCCCTCCATCTCATGCCCACAGCTCAAACACACAGAGAGCCTTCTTCCAATGTGGAAATTAATTCTATGAGAGAAGCAGCTTCTGATATTGAAGTCAGTAGAAACTGTTCTCAGCTCTTACGCATCCCTCGGGCACTTTAAATCATCCCACCTCTAACAACTAGAAGAGACCTGGTTTGCTACTATCACTTCCAGCGGAGGCTTCACTGATAAAACACACAGGCTGGATCAACACCACTATATAATGCAGTTTCAGAATTCAGATTGCCTGCAATTAAATGCCTTACCTGACTTACCAGGCGAGGGCCGTTGTGGTGGGGGGCTTCTTCTTCCAGAAGCCCCCTGCACGGCAGGAAGTTTCCTGCCACCCAGCCGGCTAGCCAATCGGTGGCCTGGCTACTCCCCATCCCTGGATTGCCCAGGGCTGGATCCTTATTAAGGCAGTCCTGGGTCCCTTACAGGCACCATGCCTGTGCTGCTTGGTCTCCCGCCTGCCCTGCATCCTTTTCATGTTTTTGATTAGGGTTACATTTGTTTGTTATTCATAGCTCATCACAACTTCTGTTGGCATGTGGCATGAGCCCTGGATCTGCCTCCCTTCCCCCCTTTAGCGAAAAGGGGGGGGGGACATCCTGTTGTCTAGGGGTGCCATAAAGTTAGCCTGGTATTGTGCCAGCAGCACACCTGATTTGTATTTGGTACTGGGCAGAGCGGGCTGACCAATTTTGATCCAGAACCCATGCATGGCAGCCAACCCATGTTCCTGTAATCAATAAACAAGTTGTGACCATTTTCTTCCCAACTCTGTGTTCGCATCATCATTGTGCTGTTGATGGGAGCTGTGTTGGCCATCACATGCAACAGGATTATATGAGTCTACATACAGTCATATAATCCAATCTAATGCTGTTAATCTGCATTCTGAAACTACATTATATGGCAATGTAGATTCAGTAAAAAAAGCTTTAACTGTGGTTAGACAAGTCCAGTGGTGGTTTCTATGCCAGTGAAGCCAAGTGTTAGCTCTCCATGGTGCTAGAACCTACTCTTAAATAGGTTCAGCAGGGTGGGCTGTAAAGGTAGGGAATACTTAGCATGGATTTACTCATGATACTAGAAGCAAACACTATCCTAGGAGAAATTTATGCCTGACAAGGTTCTCCATAGATGCTGCTTCCAATGGCCATATCTTAATTCCAATGTCAGGGATAGTCCTGCCCTCATGTTCTGCATTTGAGCTTCCCAACAACATCAAGTCGGCCACATAACCAGTTTGGTTCAGCACAACTCTTCTGCCGGATACTTCCAGATTTCTTCCATTCTTACAAAGAGTGCACTTGTAGACCTCAGCCTCCAGCGGAGGAGGTTATATAGTGGTGAGCAGACACCCTGCACACTACAGACTGCATTGTGGTGCATCTCTACAGTGTAGAATGAATGGAGTTTGACACCACTGGAACCATCCTGGCTCAATGCTAAGGCATCATGAGAGTCAAGAGAATTACAAGTTCTTGAGCCTTCTCTGCCAGAGTATGCAGATGCCTCACCAAACTACAAATTCCAAGTTCCATAGCACTGAGCAGATAAAGTGGTGTCAAACTGTGTTAATTATACAGTGCAGATTAGGGGTGTCAAACTGATTTTCATCTAGGGCCACATACGCCTTATTGTTGCTTTCAATGGGCCATTGAATCAATGGATGGAGACCCCATGACTACAGAGGGCCACCTATAATTTCTCTACATAATTAAACATATTCTTTCATTTTTACTGAATTTGGGTCCCTGGAGGTGATGCTTGTGTCTGGGGATTTGCAGCCCAACAGCCCTGAGGTTGGCTCTGAGGTTGAGGAACGGTGAAAGGACATTTTAAAGTCAAACCTCATGTCCACAAACCATGTATCTAAATTTAGCCCACTCTCTTGACTTAACAGAAGAAACAGCAGACTTCTAGATGTGACTGTATTGCAACTCCCATCAGTGTTAGTCATGATGTCTAATGATGAGGAAAACAGAAGTTGTAGTCCAGCAACTGGGGGGGCACATAAAAGGGATGCAGGCCTTGAGTTTAACAAGAAGAACTTTTGCAAATACATCCTTCTTTTTTTAAGAGTTTAAAAATCAAAAAACAGATGTGTTGATTTTTATTATTATTAAACTCAATTACAATCCAGGATAGAAATGAAGTAGCCCTCCAGATGATCCAATATACCATTGGTATTTACATTAGCATCACATTGCTAGCAAATGAAATGGCAGTCTTGGTGTAGATGCACTTCTGGTTTACCCTTTTCTCAGAGGACTATTTCATGGGTCACTTGGAGGCTGGAAAAGGAAACCTACGGCAGTGTGCCCTGATAATGGCTATAGGCGAGGGAAAGTTGTACCCAAAAAGTGCAAAAGAGAAACAAAATAATGATGATATGGGGCTCCAGACCCACTCTCTATAGGGAAGAAGGATAAGGAGAGGAAAAGGAAGAGGAGGGAGAGGAGGGAGAGCAAGGAGAGAGAGGAGGGAGAGCAAGGAGAGAGAGGAGGGAGAGGGATAGGGAGGAGAGGGGGAGGAAGGAGAAGAAGGAGAGGAAGAAGAAGAGGGAGAGGAAGGCGAGGGAGAGAGAGGAGAGGGAGAGGAAAGAAAGAGAGAGTAAGGAGAGGGAGAAGGAGAGGGAGCGATGAGGAAGCAGAAGGAGAAGGAGAGGAAGGAGAGGAAGAGGGAGGAGAGAGAGTAAGGAGAAGGAGATGAAGAGGGGGAGAGGGGCAGGGAGGAGAGGGAGAGGAAGGAGAGAGAGAGGGAGGAGAGGGACAGGAAGAAGAGGGAGAGGAAGGTGAAGGAGCAGAAGGGAGAGGAAGGAGAGGGGGAGGGACAGGAAGAAGAGGGGGAGGGAGAAGAAGGACAGTGAGAGGGACAGTAAGGAGAGAGGGGAGGGACAGGGAGAAGATGGACATGGGGAGGGAGGACAGGGAAAGAAAAAAGAGGGGAGGAAGAGAAAGGAGAGGGAGAGAGAGGAGAGGTAGAGGAAGGAGAGAGATGGAGAGGAAGGAGAGGGAAGAGAGGAAGAGGAAGGAGAGGGGGAGGAACCAGCGGGAAGAGGAGAGAGGGAGAGAAATGCGAAGAAGAGGGAAAGACAGAGCTGTTCAGCAGTGGAACTCTCCGCCCTAGAGTGTGATGGAGGTGCCTTCTTTGGGGGCTTTTAAACAGAGGCTGGATGGCCATCTGCCAGGGGTGTTTTGAATGTGATTTCCTGCTTCTTGGCAGGGGATTGGGCTCTTCCAACTCTAGGATTCTATGAGGAAGGAAGGGAGAGGAAAAAGAGGGAGCGAGAGAGCAAGAAAAGGTGAAGGAAGGAGAGGGAGAGGAAGAAAAAAGGCAAGGCTGCAAGAGAAGTCCAACATGAGCAAATAACGTTCTTCTTTCTTCTCTCTCTCTTTGGAGGCGAATCTCCCCAAAGCAAGGCGCAGCCAATGGCGTGGTCGGATTCCGCCAGAGCAGGCAGCACTTTCCTGCTCCTTGGTTTGCGCGCCTGCTGCTGCTGCGCCAGCCTCTCTTCTCTGCTCTTCTCTTCTCTTCAGCCTCGCATCCGCGGGGTCCCGTCGGGGAAGGCTGAAGGAGGGCTGGAGTGTGCGTCAAGCGCTCGCCTCACAGCATCCGTTTTCCATTCCAAAGGAGCGCGCGCGCGAGAGAGAGAGGCAGGGACAGGATCGGAAGAGTTCGGCGCGGCCACTCTTGGGAGGGCGCCTCGTGCCAGTGCCGCGCACCTCCTTGCACAGGAAGCGGGCGCTGTTCTCCAAACTCGGCACGAGGGAGCCAAAGCAGCGCGCGAGGAGGCGAAGGAGGCGGAAGGGGGAAAGAGAGCTCGCACCTGAACTGAATCCTCCCCCCCCCTTCCCCTCTGCCGTTGTTAATTGGACGTCCTGCGAGGCGATTGGCTGGAGTTCTGGGGGTCATTTGCATGAGGCCAGGCGCCTCCCGTGCCTCCTCGGCGGAGCCCCTCCTCCTCCTCCCCTTCCTCCCTTGGCACGGGGACCCTCCGCGGCCGCATTTGGGGATGCGCCGCCGAGGGAATGAGACGCCGCGGCGCCGCTGCTTGCCCCCCGCCTTAGCCTCCCGCCGCCTCCTGGGCAAGAGGCACCCGGTGGCGCCGGCGGCTATGGGGCAGCCACCCAGCCCGGGGAGCAGCACCACCGTCGGCCAGAGGAACCTCCCGGTACGATCCCGCGTTGGGAGGGAGGCTTGGAAGCATGCGCTTGGCTGGGGAGCTTGGGAAGTTGGAGGGCGAGAGAGCGAGCCAAACTCCTGTCCACACGCGCGACAGGATCCACGGAATCGTGGGAAGAGGGGAAGGGGAGGGGGCGGGGGTGAAGCAACAGTTCCAGGAAGCAAGCTTGCCAGGGTTTGATACTCACGATCCTGTTGAAATCCCTCAATTTGCATCACAGTAGCAACCCCGAGCATGACTTTGGGAAGAGGGGATGCTGAAGCCCACCGTTGACTTCAAGGTGGATGGACTTGCCAGTCCTGAGTGGGCCTTCCTTTGGAGCAAACACAGATTGGATCTGGTCACACTTTGGACAGAATTAATGGAGCACCTCTATTATTATTATTATTATTTTCTTATGTTATTATATTATTATTTAAGTTTTATATTATTCTTATATTCTTATGTTATTATATCATATTAGTATCATTTTAGTCTTACATTATTATATTAATATTTATTATTATTATTATTATTATTATTTTAGTCTTTTATTATGTTTATATTATATAATTATTTTAGTCTTATATTATTCTTATATTATTTTATTCTTATATTATTATGTTATGATATTATATTATGTTCATCTTATATTATTATGTTCATCTTATATTATGTTATTATATTATTTTATTATTGTTTTATTTTATTTTATTATGTTTATATTCTATTATTATTATAGTCTTATATTATTATTTTATTCTTATATTATCATCATCATCCCCCTTTTTCTTTCCAAAAAGAGACTCACAATGAAACTGAGGCAAAACAATTCAAAACATACCAACACTAAAATGGAATTGAGCAATCAACTTGAAACACTTTTTGAGTTAACCTTCTCCACGAGATCTATACATCCATGATAGGGGCTGCATGGGCATAAAAGGGGATGGGTTAGGGTTAAGGTTTATTAATTTTTAATAAATTTATGCCAGCCTTAACAGTTGGAAGAATCAAGTGCAGCCCTAGCAACGTTTATATAATGTTCTGCATTGGGTTCCAACAAAAACTGTGAAAACTTCAGGGAAAGAGTGTTCCCAATGTCTACTCAGAGTACAATTTCCATAAGTGTGATGGCTTGTATCATTTGGCTTCCTGTGGTTCTTCAGCCTTGGGGGTGAAAGGGTTAACCCATGGTAAAAGCAGCCTTTCAGGGATTCAAAGAAGTGGCACAAGGGGCAGGTGGCATCAGTTTTGTCAGAACAGATCTGAATATGAGAGAGTGGCACCTCGGTGCTCCTTTGCCCAATTTTATGGATCTTTTGGGAAAATAAGAGCACAACCTTATCAATGTTTATATAAATGTTATGCTTTCGGTTGGAGCCAAGACTGTGAAAACTTCAGGGAAAGAGGGCCCCAAGAGTAGGAACACAGTACGATTTCCACAAACGTGATGATGGTTTGTGAGATTTGGCTTCCTGTAGAGAGGGGTGAAAGGGTTAATTCATGGCAAAGGAGGCCTTTCAGGGATTCAAAGAAATCGGCACAAGGGGCAGGTGGCATCTGTTTTGTCAGATCTGAATACTAGAGAATGGCATCTCTCTGGGTGCTCTTTTTCATGATCGTAATGGATCCGTCAGAGGTTAGCTGCTTTCTTGGTTATTTTTCTTCCAAGTTGAAATAGCAAAAGGCATCAGTGATGCGTTTCATGCAGATGGCGGTTGTGTATGCTGCTGTTCCTGGGATGGCTGACCAGTGTCTCGTGTCTGTGGTGATCTGCTTACAGTTTGACAAAGATACTGATAAATCTGGGAAGGGAAAGACCGAAAAAGAACTTTAAAAATCCGTGTGTTTCTTTCTCCTTCTTATTCCTTTGCATTGCATACTTTTACAGAGGGCAGTGGGAGAATTAACATAAACATCCCCTGTATGCACATGACAAATGGATATACACCTGTTTAGTGAGTTCTTAATGAATTTATGTTCAGAAAATCTGTCATAAGAGTCAAATATGGGTGCATTTATGTGCATAGCATGCATATAGGAACTTGATGTTTTAGGAGCACGTGATTCTATGCAACAGAAGGATATGGTGGTCTGATTAGATCATAGGTTGATAAGGTAGAGGTCAGAGATATGACATTTGAATGCAGTTTTCCTGCTTCTTGGTAGGGGATTGGACTGGATGGCCCACAAGGTCTCTTCCAACTCAATGATTCTATGATGTATTATATCTGTGGAGGGTGACACACTCAGATGGAAGTTTTGGGTGGGCAGGACTGTTTCTTTCCATGGAGGCCAGAAGATGTTCTCTAGTAACAGGATTTATGCAGAAAGGAAGATCTTTCCTTAGGGACAGTAGAAGAAAGGGAAAAAGCAATAATATCATGACTGACGCTGCTATAGGGTTGCATCTTTTAGTAACATCCTTTTGTGCCTCTCTTTTCCCAGAACCTGCTCATTTTCCTGCTCTTCCTTGGACCTTTCAACTGCTTTGCAAGCTACAGCCGTGCCACCGAACTTTTCTACAGCATCAATGAAGGGCTACCTGCCGGGTTCCTCATCGGGAATCTAGCCCAGGATTTACAGCTACCAGGGGCAGCAGAGAAAGAGAGGGAGGCAGCTGTGGAGGGAGGCTGGCAACAGCCCGAACAATGGGGGAAAATCCCTCTCTCCTTCAATCTTGCCTCCCAGGGATTGGGAGGTCAGTATGTCAACCTGAACAACCGGACAGGAGAATTGTACACCTCTGCCCAAGAGATTGATCGGGAGACATTATGCACAGAGGATAACGTTGGTTCCAGTTTGGTTGCCTCCTCCTCCTCCTCTCCACTGCTCTCTTCTGAGTCCTGTTTGTTGTTGCTGGATGTTCTGGTGTTGCCTCAGGAGTATTTCCGCCTTGTCAAGGTGAAGATTGCCATCCATGATATCAATGACAATGCACCATGTTTTCCCATGCCACAGATACGCCTCTTTGTGCCTGAGAATTCACCGATCAACACCCGTTTAGCGATAGAGCACCCAGCTGTAGACCCAGACATGGGTACTAATGGGGTCCAGATATACCAACTGCAAGATGACTATGGAGTATTCACATTGGATGTTGAGGAGAATGAAAGTGGGGAAAGAACGCCTTACCTGATTGTCATGGGTGCCTTGGACAGGGAGGCTCGAGATGAATATGTTACACTCATAACAGCAGAGGATGGAGGAGTTCCACCACTGGTGGGCACTGCCACCCTCACCATTGGCATCAGCGACATCAATGACAACTGTCCCCAATTCAATGAGACCCAGATAAATGTCACTGTCTTTGGGAACTCTAGTATTGGTTTAGACATAGCCTCTGTCCATGCTGTAGACGTGGATGAGGGCATCAATGCAGAGATCACCTATTCGTACAGCCAGAAGGTGGCACAATCATCTCGCACTTTGTTCCATCTTGATGAAAGCACAGGCACCATCAAACTCTCCAAGAGGATTAATGGTGACACTCCTCGTCTTCATCGGCTGAGCGTCTTGGCAAATGGTCCTGGTTGTATACCAGCTGTGATCACTGTGTCAGTATCTATCATTAAAGTTATGATGCGACCTCCTGAAGTGATCCCTCGTTTCATAGCCAATGAAGCAGAAGGGGTTGTTTACCTGAGGGAATTAGAACCTGTTAACACACCAATTGCATTTTTTACCATTAAGGACCCAGATGAAAAATACAAAGTGGATTGCTATTTGGATGGTGATGGCCCATTCAGGTTGTCACCGTACAAACCATATCACAATGAGTACTTACTGGAGACTACAAAACCATTGGATTATGAGACTCAACAGCTCTATGAAATATCAGTGGTTGCATGGAACACTGAAGGATTCCATGTAAACAAAATAGTTAAAGTTCAGGTTCTGGATGATAATGACAATTCGCCTGTTTTCTCTCAATCACTAATAGAATTAACAATTGAGGAAAATAATGCTCCCCATGCTTTTTTGACCAAGTTGTATGCAACAGACGCTGACAGTGGAGAAAGAGGCCAAGTGTCTTACTTCCTAGGACCTGAAGCACCATCATATTTTTCTTTAGATAAAGACACGGGAGTCCTGACAGTTTCCACCCAACTGGATAGAGAAGAAAGAGAAAAATATCGCTATACAGTAAAAGCGGTAGATTCTGGAATGCCACCCAGGGAATCAATAGCCACAGTTACAATTTTAGTTCTGGATAAGAACGACAACAGTCCGAGATTCATCAATAAGGATTTTAGCTTTTTTGTGCCAGAGAATTTCCCAGGCTTTGGTGAAATTGGAGTTTTAAGCGTCACTGATGCAGATATAGGACAAAATGGATGGGTTGCACTTTCAGTTGTAAATGGAAGTGATATCTTTGTTATAGACACTGGCAAAGGAGTTTTAAGAGCAAAGGTCTCTCTAGATAGGGAACAACAGAGCTCCTACACCATATGGGTTGAAGCGGTGGATGGAGGTGATCCTGCCTTGTCCTCAACTGCGAAAATAACCATCCTTTTGCTGGACATAAATGACAACCCACCACTTGTCTTGTTTCCTCAGTCTAATATGTCTTACCTCCTGGTCCTTCCTTCTACACTGCCTGGCTCACCAATCACAGAAGTCTATGCAGTAGATAATGACACAGGCATGAATGCGGTCATAGCATACAGCATCATAGGAAGAAGAGGCCCCCGGCCAGACTCCTTTAAGATTGACCCCAAGACAGGCAACATCACTCTGGAAGAATCACTCATGCAGAACGACTATGGCCTCTATCGACTTCTTGTTAAAGTTAGCGATCATGGCTACCCAGAACCTCTCCATTCCACAGTCATGGTGAACCTCTTTGTCAATGACACAGTCAGCAATGAAAGCTACATTGAAAGCCTTTTGAGGAAAGAGCCTGACATTAATATTGAGGAAAAGGAACCACAAATCTCTATAGAACCCACACACAAAAGAGTGGAAGTGGCATCTTGCATGCCTACCTTAGTAGCCCTGTCAATAATAAGTTTGGGTTCAATAACACTGGTAACTGGGATGGGTATTTATATCTGCCTAAGGAAAGGGAGAAAATACCATACAGATGATGAACATTTGGAAGTACAGATCCCATTAAATGCAAGAATCGATCTGCATATGCTAGAGAAGAAACCAGTGGAAATTTCCAACATCTGAATGGTTTCACACAGACAGTCTCAACCAAAACATTCTTGAGAGTGACTCACTCCCAAGTGGGAGATTGCCAGCAGGACCTACAGTGAAGGACTACTGATTTATAACTTATTATAATTGTAAATAGCTGTTTACAGGTTTTTATGAAAAAGAAAAAAGGGAAAAAATCAAATTCAATGTACAGCCTTTTAAAAAGTTGAAACCTTAGTGCTAACAGCTAGTAATCTGTCTGTGCAGACGTGGCCCTCAAAAGACCCATCTATAGAACAAGTCAGTATTCATAAAGTGAAGGTAAGACGATGACATATTCATTGTTACGTTCTTCAATGCTCAAAGTCATTTTTGACCACAAGAGGGCATCATCAACTATTCCTATGAATGAAACTGTTTAAAAGAAAATGAAAAGTATATTTTGAAATGTTTGAGGATTTTTGTATAAAGGGGAAAGAGAAAAAAAGTATGGGTTTGAGGTAAAGCAAATATATCTTCTATTGTATATATGTGAAGATGACAAGAAAATATGCACTGGTAAATAAAAACAGAATGTTTTATTACCTCAGATGTTAATATATATATATATATAGGAAAGGCATTAACAAGAAGTGCAATTTCTTGAGGGTGCACACCATCCCATGTGTGATTGTGAACAGAAAGGAGATGTTCACTTTTCACTCAATATAGACAAAAACTGTCAATTATTTCAGCAGTTCCCTTTTCATTTTGAAATAACAGGATTCCTTGAAACAAATGAAGGTATGCCATGTGGGATCTAAAACAGTCCATGTCTCAGAAAGATAAGGGTTTGACTGGTGTTACTGTCATCCCTATATAATAGTAGCTTCTAAAGCCTCATCAAATGCATCTCTGGAAGGTTTCTCAAGCCTTGCAAGCATTTTCTCAGGAGGCTTGAGGACCAATCACTGGAATCCTAGACATCCTATTTTTGAAGACATTGCAGCCTGATCTTGTCATACTGATTCCAATTGGGCTTTCTTCTGTAGATCAGGGCACCTGATATTTTGATCTTCAGTTTCTATAACTGCTGACTGTCTTAAGTGGGACCCATGGGAGTTGAAGTCTAAAACCTTTGGAAGGCCATAGTCTTGTTATAAGTGAAGGTATATGGGAGTGTTGTCTAAATGCAACAAATCACAGAATTGATGAAAGGCCAATTATTTCCACAAGAGCAGCAAAGCCTGATAAAATCCATCTCCAATCCAGCAAGGGGAAGCATATTTAGAAGCAGAGTTCCATATATCAATTTGGTCTTTTGGCTCTGATCCACAGGTACAAAACGATGAAAGTCTAAGGCCCCTTCCACACAACTGAATAAAATCCCACATTTTCTGCTTTGAACTGGAATATATGGCAGTGTGGACTCAAATAACCCAGTTCAAAGCAAGTATTGTGGGACTTTCTGCCTTGATATTCTGGGTTATTTGTCTGTGTGGAAGGGCCTTAAGTCTTATTCATAAACCAGCAGACAGATAATTCTTTTCCCCCTTTCTGCCCCATCCAAGTTACAAACACTGGTAGTACTTAAAATATCCTTTGTTGAGGGTGTTCCTACATGTAATCCCTTACTACATGAGTTTTTGAACGGAGGCCCATAATTACGTTTCCTTCATTGCAGGATATTGCAGCTGTATCTACCAACAACTATTTACCATGTTATACATACTTCTCTCTGTTTATGATTCTTCATTGGTGACTCCCATGTCAATTGGATACTGAACTCAGTCTGGATTTTACTCTGAACTTTAAAAATGCATGCATGGTGCTGAAATTAAGCCCCCAAATATTTCAGCACGATGGATAGCTCTAGGCTGTATCCACACTGCAGAATCATAGCAGTTTGGCACCACATTAACTGCTTTGCCTTAATATTATGTATTTTTGTGTATTTGGGTTGTATTTTTGTGAGATATTTACTAGGGCTGGGCGGTTTCGTTTCGTTAATTCGTAATTCGTTAAAAATTCGTTATTTTTTTTTTAAACGAAGCAATAACGAACCATTCTGGAGCAGCTTAAAAACGAAACGAATTTTTCAATTCGTTTCGTAAATGCTTCGTATTTCGTTATGTATTCGTTTCGTTATTGGTTTGAGGTCGTTTCGTTATTATTTCCGCATGTCTGGGGCAAGTTTTATAGTTGTTTTTTGTTTAATTAGTGAAAAAAAATATAATATCACACCAACAGTCAACAACAGAGGGAGAGGGAAGCTTCAGAAGTTCCCCCTGTCCCATTTGGAGGTTTTTTAGCGTATTGCGCGGTCGCGTCTGCCATTAACGAATCGATTCGTTATTGTTTCGTTATTGTTTCGTTATTGTTTTGTAATTTTTTTTACATTTACGAAATTTTGTAAATATCGAACTTTTTTAAAAAAAAAATTCGGAATTCTTTTAAATATCGAAACGCAAAAAACCCCAAAAAACGAATCGATTTTAGAAACAAATTTTTCCGTTATTACCCAGGCCTAATATTTACCCATCTCTGTCAGAGAACTCTGTTGCCACAAAAAACTACAACTCCCACAATTCCATAGATGGGGCTATAGTAGTTAAAGAGGTGTCAGACTGCTATTATTTTGCAATGTGGTTGGGACATAAAAATCAGATTATATTCACTGCTCCTCTGTATCTGTTTTCTGTAGGTAGCAGTTGATATATTCCTTTCAGTGGGATGGTGAATCTGTCCAGATTCTAGTTTCCATGTCATTATTCATTCCGGCTTTTATTATAAACTTTAGAGTAGCCAATTCAAATGGCAAACCTACTTTGGGGATTTAGAATCCACAGTAAAACCCAGAGGGGATTCGCTATCCTACAGACATCGAAGTCATCAGCCACCATAGATCGATCCAAAAATAGATGGATGTGATAATCCTGAGTTAAAGCCTGAGTTGTTGTCAATAATGTTTTGTAGCTTCAGCAATCTGTCAGTAGCATTCTATCATTTTGGATGTGGAACATTTATTTTTAAATGCTATGTTTCTAAAGGAAAGCTTTCGAAATGATACAAAAACTGCTTCTCATTCTTGGTAAATGTAAAAAGTTTAATTTTATAATGTTGACTCTTGCTCCTTTCCGGATGGGAATTTGTGTGGAAGAACAGCAGCTAATTGCTAGCTCCTTGGCTCCCTTCCTTTTCATTTGCTCAGTTTCCTGGACCAAGTCCAGAGTTCCCTTCTTCAAACTGGTGACATATCTTCGCAGACATGTAGACACCTGCCTGCCTCTGCAGCTACAGACAGAGGGGTTATCAGCAATGCACACCTTTCACATTGATTAGAAGAGCTGGAAAACTCTCGTGTCAGAGGCCTGCATCAAATTCATTTGTTTGAAACAAGGCAAATTGAGTGTTTTGCTTAAGACGGACACTTTTCTTGAGTTCTGACAATATGTCTGTACTGTACCAAAAGTGTTTATATGTCTGCAAATAAAGACTCTATATTTTCATAACCTTTTGATTTGTTAGCATTTTGTCAAGCACAGGTGTCCTCTCCTGTTAAAAAATAATTCCTAGTATATACACTTGATCTTAGCCAAAAGACCAAGGAGCAATAAGAATAGGGAACTGGACAAGGCAGCCCTAGTATATAAGGTATTAGTGAGTCTATTGTGCATCAGCCACCATAGATAGATAAAAAAATAGAGAGGGATATGATACTCCAGAATTTGTAAAATCAGAGCTTATTTATCTTATTAGGAGCGAACCAATGTATTTGAAAAAACACAAAAGTTTAAAAAACTTGGTACTATACTAAATATCCTTTGACCAGTAGCTGGCCACTTGGAGTGCCTCTGGTGTTGCTACAAGAAGATACTCTATTGTGCATGTGGCAGGGGTCAGGTTCCACTGCATTAGGTTGTCTGTGGTTTGCTCTTCCCCACACCCGCATGTCTGGACTGCACCATTTCTTAAGGTTGGCTCTGCATCTTGTGGTGCCAGAGCACAGTCTGTTCAGTGCCTTCCAAGTTGCCCAGTCTTCTGTGTGCCCAGGAGGGAGTCTCCCATTTGGTATCAGCCATGGGTTGAGGTTCCAGGTTTTAGCCTGCCACTTTTGGACTCTCACTTGCTGAGGTGTTCCTGTGAGTATCTCTGTAGATCATACAAAAATATTTCTTGATTTAAGGCATTGGTATGCTGGCTGATATCTGAACAGGGGTTGGGCCAGAAATGTCACTGCCTTGGTCCTTTCAGAATCAGAATCTGAATAAAAACCTAAGATCAGACCATAGGCCTGTTTGGTCTAGTTCCCTATTCAGTAGCCAACCTGATGTCTATAGCAGTAGTTCTCAACTTGTGGGTCCCCAGATGTTTTGGCCTTCAACTCCCAGAAATCCTAACAGCTGGTAAACTGGCTGGGATTTCTGAGAATTGTAGGCTAAAACACCTGGGGACTCACAGGTTGAGAAGCACTGGTCTATTGGAGCCATCCAGCAGGACTGTGTAGTTTTGATGGTTTGCATGTGTACACAAAGATATTTTAAAATAATGTTAATGAGGGGAGGGAGGCTTTTAGGGTCCAAGCCATTTATTAACTAGTCTTTGTAGTGGGAAAAATAGTCCTGTTTGCATAGTACAAACTTCTATCATATTTTTGTACAAATATTTGTGGTACATATTTTTGAAAGTGCATATTTTTTCCAGAAGTCTCTATGATAGTCTTTATTTCAATAGGGTTTGTTACTATCTGTGATTTCAGATATTGACTGTGTTGTTATTCTTTTGAAAACTTGGCAACATTTGTCAAAAGGGGTGGTTAGGAAATGTTTAAAACATGTCCCTCTGAATGGCCTCTTTCAAGGATAGGCAAAGTATAGAACTTAAGATCTCACTAAGCCTATCCTCTTTAACCAGTGGAGGATAATGCTGTAGTTAAATGATATCCAGAAACCCACTTTGCCTTCCCTGTATCTATTGCTTTTCCTTATCTGCATTTCTTAATTCATATTCAGAAAGCCACATGTTGCCTTCCCTCTATTCTTTTTCCTTCTCTGCATTTCTTAAGATGGGAGTGGGAATTTCAGTCTAACAAGGTTTGGCTGGGCACACATTCACCATCCCTGCCATGTCTGCCAGCCACCATAAATAATAATAATAATAATAATAATAATAATAATAATAATAATGACGGCTGGCAAACATGGCAGGGATGGTGAATGTGTGCCCAGCCAAACCTTGTTAGACTGAAATTCCCACTCCCATCATCATAGATTATGATAACTAAAGGTGATGAAAATTGCAGTTCAACAAAATCTGGGCCACCACACATTCCCCATCTTGGAATTCCAGTGTAACAGCACAAATTCTGATAATTGTTTGTGGTATGCAGTAAGCCCTTTATTAAAGATCTTTCTCTGACAAGGAAACTGTGCACAAGGTCACTTCTTAAATAACATTTTATTTCAGATAAGATGATGCCAAATCTGTGTCTAATGGAAAATGAACAATGCTAAACAACTAGTTTCAGCTCCAGTGCTTATGGCCTTTGTACTTGACACTTATCTCATTGTTGTCATTGTCTTACAGGTTCCTGCATGCGTATGTGTCGCCTTCAAATTGCCTGTTGATTTATAGCTCCATGAATTTGTTATTGTTATTAAGGAATACTCAGAAATGATTAGACATTTCCTTCCTCTGAAATGTCATCTATAGCAAAAGCATATTGAGAATACAGTTATAATGTATTAAAAAAACATAAACAAAAGTTAAAAACTTGGCTTTATGCTACATTTCCTTTGAGCAGAAGCTGGCCACTTGGAGTGCCTCTGGTGTCACTGTAAGAAGGTCCTCCATTGTGCATGTGGCAGGGCTCAGACGGCATTGTAATAAATGGTCTGTGGTTTGCTCTTCTCTACATTCACATGTCGTGGACTCCACTTTGTAGCCCCATTTCTTACAGTTGGCTCTGCATCTCGTGGTGCCAGAATGCAGCCTGTTCAGCACCTTCCAAGTTGCCCAGTCTTTTGTGTGCCTGAGGGAATTTCTCTTCTGGTATCAGCCATGGGTTGAGGTTCTGGGGTTTAGCCTGCCACTTTTGGACTCTTGCTTGCTGAGGTGTTCCTGGGAGTATCTCTGTAGATCATAGGAAGCTATTTCTTGATTTAAGACATTGGCATGCTGGCTGATATCTGAACAAAGGATGGGCCGGAGATCTATAGCACCTAGTATTCATTGATGGTCTCCCATCCAAGTACTTACCAGGTGATTAGTTTCCAAGATAAGATGCAACCATACATTTGCAGCATGTTTACATAGTCCCAACAAGTGCAATGGTCTTCTTATTTTCTCCTCCTACCAAAAACTGAAAGTCATACAGCTTCATATAGTCACCAATCTCTCTCTCCCTGTATTTTGGGTTTCCTCATTGCATAGTAATCCATACCAGGTAAAGACCATTCTATTTAGGCAGGCTTTTAGCAACTGAGTTATTGCTAGCAGAGTTTTTTTTTTTTATTATGTGAATGCTTTATATTCTTTATCATTTTAATTGATGTTTTAAATTGTATTTTAATAGGTGTTGTCATTCAATCGTACTGGGAATTGCCTTAAACCCCCAGTTTAAGTTGAAAATATAAAACCAGTAAAAAGTGCACAAATTATATACACACAAACACACACACACATAGACATACATACACACATACACAAAATAATCAACCTAAATTTCTAGAACAGAGAGTTGCTATTTTAAAGATACTCCCCATTAAAATTATTGCTCCCCACTCCTTTCTTAAAATTCAAATTCATTCTCAATTCTGTGTGAAAAGCAATCTTAAAGGCTACATTTTTCTGGACCCTTGATAAAGCCCATTAAATCCTTTTCACATATTATTTCGAAATGAGCACGAATGCAATACATTACTTGGAAAGTCTTCTCCTTCCCATTCTTTTAAACACCTTATGCAAGCACATTTACC